ATATTTTGACAAAATGATCATATGTCCTGTAAGTGATGGATTAACTTCAACACCTTTTCCATAGGACAGGTACTCTGCAGCTACTGGAACTTTGCAGTTCAAGATCGCATCTATTTCTTAGCATTAAACCCAGACTGCCACGCTGGCCACATCTTCACTTGTACACACAGACTTCTGCAAAACTTTTTACTTTTGCTAAGCCATCAAATCCAGGCTACTTAAATCGCATCTCACTGCTGCCGGTCACACGAGCACAGAAGATCCCTGCCTGTTCTTGATGAAAGCTTAAAAATCTTAGGATGCCGAAGGGTTTCTTTATTGCATCCAGATACATGCACCTTCCTACTTCAAAGGGTAGGGCAGAGAGTGCTCAAACATGTCCAGTCCTCCTAGTTATTTCAAAGATGAAGCTAAACCCTCACCTAATCAAGACAGGTATATCGCCACTAAGCAGAGCAAATTCCGTTTTGAATCCTTGGCTACTACTGCCATTTCCAAGGGAAGAAAGTACAAGTATGTATTTATTTCAGATTTCTAAAACTAGAAGACACCACTGAACTTGGCGTCCTGCAACAATGTGAAATACCAGAAGGCACAAGTCTGTGGTCGTTTTCTCCTGCCACCACCAGTTCCTCATAGGACATTAGATCACGCAACAGAATTGTAGCAACTTTCTTGCTCTATCTGTGATTAAGTTCACTTGGTGAACTAAAAGCTTTCACGTCCTAAGTCCACAAGCTTACAATAAATAGAAAAATAGAATTAGTTAAAAAGAAAAATTATTTTTTACTTACATCATTATAGAAATGTAGTAATTGCAAAAGTAAGCGTTCTGAACTCTGAAAAGATACAGATTTTGCACATGGAGGTATCTGGTCTTGTAGGATTAGCCATGATGTCATCACAAATCTGCCTCATGAAAATAGTTGGTATTAATTACCAAGTTGAGACTGCTCTTCTGAAAAAAACCAGCATCCTTCTTCCCATCTTCTCCACCTACGTTGTTTTTTGTGTCAGTAGAGAATTAAGTTAAAATTGCTTAAATACTTTTCAGTTTCACTGCAATGCTTATTTCTGACTTTGTCCAAGACAACTCCCTTTCTCCTGTGTGGTAATTAATCGATGATAAGAGCTACTCACTTCAGAACTTTCCTGGGAACAAGCTAATACCAAATTTTCCTCTTGTTCTACAGCATGAGAATAACATCATTCACCGGGACTTGAAAGCAGAAAACGTCTTCTACACCAGTAACACCTGTGTTAAGGTGGGAGACTTTGGATTCAGCACAATAAGTAAAAGAGATGAAACTTTAAATACTTTCTGTGGCTCTCCTCCTTATGCTGCCCCCGAACTCTTCCGAGATGAAAACTATGTTGGCATTTACGTAGACATCTGGGCACTGGGAATCCTGTTATACTTCATGACGACGGGTATCATGCCGTTTCGGGCAGATACAGTGGCCAAACTGAAGAAGTGCATTCTTGAAGGGACATACAGTTTGCCTCCCTGCCTCTCAGAAACTTGCCAGAAACTGATAAAAGGAGTCCTTCAGCCAGTACCAACAGAACGATACTCTGTCAAACTTATTATGAACAGTGAATGGATGCAAGGGATACCGTACCCCAAACCTTTACAGCCATTTAAACTGGATCCAAAGTATTTATCAGACATCAGCACGCTGAAAGAGGAGGAACTCGAAGTGAAAAATATTCTAGAAGACCTGGGAATCACAGAAGAGCACATTCAAAATAACCGGGGAAGAGATGCGCGCAGCTCAATAACAGGGGTCTACAGAATTGTTTTGCACAAAGTGCAGAAGAAAAGGGCACTTGAATGTGTTCCTATCGTGTCCCATCCAGACCCCAAAGAACAAGACGTGAGGGGAAGAATCAGCTCTCACAGCGGAGTGAAACACATATCCAAGCTGTGTTCCATTTTATAAATTGCACTGCAGGCTTCACACTCAGCACACTGTTAACAAACGGTTTTATTCACTTTTCACAAGTTCTGGTGTGACATTTTTTTGTAATTTTTGAATAAACCAAAAATGCCTAATCCCCTCTGCGTTTCTCAAGTCACAGTGAAGCACCCAAATACAGAGCTCTCATGCACTTGTTTGTCCCTTGCTCCAGAGACACAGTATGGCCAGTGCGGGAACCAAGGAGGCGAAACAGGTAAGGGATCATTAGCGGAGGTGACCTTTTAGTAAAGATCAAATAGTACTGCATTTAACACGCTTGGGAGATTCTCCGTACAGGCACCTAACAGCTAGCTTCTTGAAAAGCGTTACCTTAGCTTGACACAACTTTACCACTGCAAACCAGGACAGTTTTTGCAGAGAACTAAATTTAAGCAGAAGCCAGACCATAAGCTAAACAACTGCAAATTCTTCTTTAAGACTTCTTCAGCAAATTAAACATGATAAAATGTATATTAGAACTTTTTTTTTTATTATTTAAAGATACAGCAATGCTGCTGTTGACCACCTTCCTGATTTGTCACAATTCAGAAAGGCAAGTTAGGATGTGCTGCTTTAACCTTGCGCATGTGGTTGCAATTCCTAGTGCTCAGCTGGTTGGGCTATGACCTACCAGCCTTCTGACACCTTCCATTAGGTGTACGATTCTGACCGTCTAGAACTGCTTGGAACCTAGTTGCACTCCAATAAAGAAAGATTTAAGTGTACTCCAAAACTCGTGTAGTTTTAAATTCTTGCTTTAGCACTAGGTGTCAGTAAGCTGAATGCAACCAATAACCAAATTTGCTTATATATGGAGCATTACAGGCTTGTAGTAACTCCTGCCATACTACCTTGGCAAGAAAATCTGGCAAAAAGCTGATTTTGATACTCTTGACCAGTGCAAGTTAAAAGCTGGATAGCCTGACAACTCCAATTGTTCTGAGCATCACCAAGATGTAGATACTCCTATCTTCAGCTTTAATTGCTTATTTTGTTCTTTAATCTTCAACACCACCAGCTGAAATGCAAATGGTGGTAAAGTGCAGTAGCTGTCCTCCTCTCAACAGGCAGAGCCAACATGCCTAAGCTAAGGCAAGTAAACCAATGCGAGGTTTAGAGAGGTACAGCTGGTGCTTTCAAATTCAAGGGCAGGATGCCTTATCTATTACGGGGGACTAATGCGATGATCAGTTGACTCTAAAAGGAGTAATTGATGTAAATGAGCAACCGAGTGACTCTGAAAAGCCACCCACTGGAAACTGGACTCAGTGAGGCTCAGGTAAATAAAAAGCAAGAACCAATCCCCCTTCATAGTTTTTCTGAGGGGGAGAAAATACCATCTTTCATAAGACAGTAATAAAGATTAATTGTATTTCATAAGCTGGGAATGAATTCCTCCACTATAAACAGTTTCCATCTGAAAGCATTTAAGTTATCTTGAAACATAGCCCTGAAATAATGGGTTTGCACCAGCTTAAGCAACCCTTTCTTTCCACTCCTGTAATGGAATGAAAGATCCAGAAGGTCCACACAGCTTGTGAACCCACAACTTCAGGTTTTCACAGGGCCAGTTTCCTCTTTCTTTCCTGTTAAAGAAAAACAAATGCATCCTTAAAACCCAACAAGTCAGCACTACGCCAGCAGGTTTCAAAGATCTCAAACTTTATTTTAATAAAGGATCAGCCTCACAGACCGTGAGGTCCCTCTGGTTAACCTTCTGCCAGTAGCTCACTTCTTGGCTTGTCCACTGCCAGCAATGGACTTTGTTCCATGGCAATTTGTTTTTCTGGTGCCAAGATAAGTTTCACACGAGGGCAACCTAAACCAAAATACTTGCAAACACTATCGTCATGCATCATTGCTCCATCATTTTCAGCAGAACAAACAGATTAGTATTCATCAATTTATAATAAACAACTATTTTACCAAGGCTTGACTGTACAAATACAGCAAGTTATCAAATCCTAGTGAGTGACAGATAATACAAACACTTCATTACACACAAAAATCCCCTTGTAATTTAACAGACAAATCAGTTTCTCCTACTTTATATTAGATAATGTAGCTTTGTAGAATTAGCAAAGAAATAAATTCAACAAAACTTCATTCTGTACATTAGCTCAATTTAAATATATATTACAAGCTTACAAGGCTCATGTCATAGTTCATTTCCAGTCTGGGCTTTAAAAATCTACCCGACTGGACTCCCCATTAGCATTGTATATCTACCACTTGCAAAATGGATAGCTTTTAGCTTGCATGTTGGGAGGGGGGAAAAAAATAAAAAAAAAAAAAGTAAGAGACCCCACTCCTACAATATTACCAACAGTGAAAAGGACTTCAAAGTACAAAGCCAAATTCAAAGTTAGAAATAGTCTTTTAGAAATGTATTATATAAAGAATAGTGAGGGGCCAGAGCTCCAGACAAAGTGATCTTCCTCCCTACCTTTGTTTGCCAATTAAAACAGCTCCATAATATCTAGAAGTTTTATTTGAAAATTCTGCTGCCTTAAATACTTCTACTAAACAATCCTGACAGGTGCCAAATCAATGAACCCAAGAATTACACCCTTTTTGTTCTTTAGAAGAAAAAAACTACTACCTCCCTTCTTTTTCCTCTTTCTTCCCAGGCTGCTGTGATTTATAATGCAGGTATAAAACACCTAATATGGATGCTAGGAGGAATTACGTAGTAAGTAACACCGTGGGTCACAGAGTTTCTTAAAAGAAAACCAGCTGTCAGTTTAGCCCTTCTTGACCCAGTCATTTTGACAGGGGAGAGAGATTCTCTTCCAGCAATGAGTGTTACTTGGTTCTACACCTCTCCCAAAGCAGTGGGACGATGGGAGGTAGACTGGGAGAAGAAAGGGAAGGAGAAGTGCAGTATTCAGACGACTGACTGCTTACTGTCAAGGCACTGAGAACCCTAACATTAAAAGCTTGGACTATTTTGCCACACACGTGAGTACAAGTAGAAGTTAACAGTGTAGGTTTCAAGTCATTTTGCATGGAAAGAGCAAGCAGAAGATTCTTTTTTTTTTTCTATGTACAAAGACCTTGTAATAGACTACAGCTACTACTCAGCAATTAAAAAAATTCAGACACGTTTAGGAATTCACACAGCCCCTGGCAAGTCCCTCCATCTCCAGTATATTCATGATTTTAGTGTTCTGGAAATAGTATAAATATCAGCACGCCATATTATGACAAATCTTTTCAAGGAGCTTAAAACAGTTTTTCCATGCTCCAGTGAAGTACTACTGTACACTGAAACTTCAGCGCTACTGCAATCCTTCTCTCTCTCTCACCCTACCCTCACACCTTGTTTCATTCCCCACCTCACAGAGGTATCTTAATGCTCCCCATTGGAAATGGCAACAGTAACGCCTTCAGATTCTGTTGTTGCAGGGATTCTTGGCACTTTCTTAGCAGGGCTTGGGATGTGCTAAGAAGAAGGGAAAAAAAACATTAAATACAGTTTTCTAGTTCAGACATTCATACTTCATGGCTAGTCCAACTCTCAGACAACATTCATGCTACACTGGACGGCTTGCTCTTAAGTCAATCAAATCGGTCATGCTTCATGCAAACTGATCGTGTGAAAAGAGCCAGTTTGTTCCCGTTCCATTCTTGTGCAGTTTCATTCATGTTATGACGACATGTACTTTTTAAAATCCCATGTTCAATTTTTCAGTTCTGGCTTGTATGTTACATATGTTAACAAAGTATTTAACAGAACTTGTTAAAGCACTTCCTCTTTTAACATACATGCACATGCTAAGACAAACACATAAACCGTTCTACCACTTATATCAAACTTTAAAAGAGTGCTGAGTGTTCACCTCATGAACAACGCCTGGGTGGACAACTTCAACTCCTGCCTCCAGAGGTCCATCCCCCATCAGCGGGCGCCGCGCGTAAGTTCTCCTGTGTTTTTCATCCACACGCACAAGGTACCACGTTCCCTCAAAGAGATCGTCTACCGAACACTGTGGAATATAGTTGGCTGTAAAAAAGACAGTAAACACACTGTTAGCTGGATCCTGGTGAGAGTGTTACACAAGACAGGCCTTTGCAGTTTGGACGCACTAAGACAGAAAATACAGGTTTGCATTTTCATTTCAGCCACATTGGGCCAATGACCACAAGCTCTTCAGAAGTAGGAAGGGTGGGACACGTCCTTCGTTCTACACCCTAATCGTTTACAGTCATGCGAATTGAGCGATGAGCATTTTGCTCTAAGGCTAGGCATGATTTACATTTATGAAGTTCTTACCCAAGTGATGTGTTTCCTGCCTAATCTTCATGTTCTCAGCAAAGACATCAGGTGAAATACATTTTCTTGAGTCAAGTCTTGTTTTGAGATCAGAAAGGCTGGCAGTTATTTTGTCCAGTGCAGAACCTATGATACAAAACCATCGTGTAAGGCAGCACCACTGCTGAGAACTGCACGGTAGCATGATAACATTTCAAGCCCATTCAAAATATTTTGCCCTACAGAAGCTAAACTTTTGGTCATTTAAAGATATCCCCACTCATTCAATCAAAGCGTTAACAGAGTTTGAAGAATATTATTTACTTGCGCAAGGAGACACTTAAACATTCCCTGGAGCTAGAACATCTTCAGTTTAACGTTACTGTCATTCGGCATTGTTCCGTAGGTTTACTTATGCCGGTGGGTAGTGTAACAAGGCATTTAGAGGTGAGCTGTGCAAGGGAGTTAAAATCAACATCTCTTCCGTTCACTCACCAGGAGTGGCATCCTGTGTCACTCTGATGGAATACAGCGTAGCAGCGAAACCAGAGCCGTATGAGAACACGCTGATTCTCTGTCCTGCGAGCTGCTCTGGGGGGTACCTGCGTGTCAAGCAACACTTGTTTGAAGTGAGAATTAAGCCAGGGTGCCAATTTTAAATAACAAGAAACTGCAGCTAGCTTAGAAAAAGCAGCCAGTAAATGATACTGACTACAATACACGTTTAGCATGCTATGTGCATAAATGCTGACTTTTAAAAACACAGTTTCAAACACTGCTGTTAGGAGTTCCAAAGCAGCCTAAGCAAAACAGAGCAAAGAAATGCCTAGAATATGATTCTCTAGAAGGCAGCCAGTTTTCATTCTTAAGTGACCTAAAGCCTAAAATGAACAACCACATCTTGGAAGGCAAAGTCAGAATAAAGAAAAAAGGATCCAAGAGGAATTTAAACTTCACATGATTTTGTAAAAGTCTGTCATTGCAAAAAAAAAAAAATAAATTGTTAAGTAAATACTAATTTGATTTGGCTTTGCTTATTATAGTGCAACAGAGAAGGCATTCCCACTCTCTTTTCCACTGCAGTGGTTTTTTTGGGGGGGTGGGGGGTGTTGCGGGGAGGGGCGATAAGGTTGAG